TTGGAAAAAAGAGGGCCATGGAAGTTGTTTATCACCACCACCAAACACAATTTTGAGAAATTCAGGAGAAAGAAAAACAGAAAAAAAGAAGCAAGAATATAGACAGACAGAGAGATTTCATACACACCGAGTGGGACAGTTGATCTATGAATGACGCAATAGACAAATAGGGTACAAGGAGTGTTCCCCACCATGATAAGCTGATGAGCATTGACACTGGGGAAACCCTTACAAAAAATGTACCATGGCATTTTTTTCATTGTACTACCATGGTAAATTTTTTGTACTATCATGGTGTTTTGGTCACTACTATGGCAGGAAAATACCATGGTACTTGTGCAAATACCATGGTATTTTTCTGCCATGGTAGTGACCAAGAAAACGTTATATTATTTTCTTTGTACTAGCTACCATGGTACAAAAATTTACCATGGTAGTACAATGAAAAAAAGACCATTGTTTTGTACTAGCATCATGTGTGAAACATGAAAGCATAATACACTACATCACCAAAAGCATGTGGACACCCCTTCAAATTAGTGGATTCGGCTATTTCAGCCACACCCGTTGCTGACAGGTGTATAAAAGCGAGCACACCTCCATGCAATCTCCATAGACAAACACTGGCAGTAGAATGGCCTTACTGAAGAGCTTAGTGACTTTCAACACGGCACAGTCATAGGATGCCACCTTTCCAACAAGTCAGTTCATCAAATTTCTGCCCAGCTAGAGCTGCCCCAGTCAACTGTAAGTGCTGTTATTGTGAAGTGGAAATGTCTAGGAGCAACAATGGCTCAGCTGCAAAGTGGTAGGCCACACAAGCTCATATTTTCCCTCCATTAAGCGGGTTGGATCACACATTAAACTGTCCTTTATTTAAACAATCCAATCTGTCACAGACTCGCTGTTGCTAAGCAACCGAGTAAAGTCCAGTGAGTCTACTAGCTAACTTGCGTTAGGCTACGTTTACATAGCTAGATGGGGGAGAGAAACAGATGGCTAGCTCACTCACCTCCCCTGGATTCAAGAGTAAATCACAGATTGAATCGTTTACTGCAATCTTAAGGGTGTTTAGCCACGCGAGGCCCCTTGGGATTAACTGGGTTTATGGTATATTTCATGAGTAGCATACATTTTTGGGGTGAAGAAGTGTTTTCACACAACTGCATTAGCTAGCGCTCTGCGCTAATAGGTAATCCGGCGGGAAATGGCAACCTCTGGGACTAAGAGGGTGCCTGTTTAAAAACAAACATGGCCAAAGACCCAACAACCTCCCTGTAATCCGCATTACAGGGGGATTAGGCTTTCTGGCCAATGTGGGTTACTATAATAATTAGCAGGGTTGGTTCAGGGGGTGTTATACAAATGCTAGTGTAGTGGAGGTTGTTGGTAGGTATAGTGGATGTAGTTTGTAGGTGTAGTGGATGTAGTTGGTGGAGTGGATGTAGTTGGTAGGTGTATTGGATGTAGTTGTAGTTGTAGTGGATGTAGTTGACAGGTGTAGTGGATGTAGTTGGTGTAGTGGATGTAGTTGACAGGTGTAGTGGATGTAGTTGGTGTAGTGGATGTAGTTGACAGGTGTAGTGGATGTAGTTGACAGGTGTAGTGGATGTAGATGGTTGGTGTAGTGTATGTAGTTGGTAGTTGTTGTGGATGTAGTTGTTAGACTAGTAGGGTGTTGTCTCCAAACAGTTACTACGTATCTAAGCAGTTTTATATTAAAAACTATACAATTTGTAAATAATATGCTTCACTACTTTACACTGTCACAGAAAAAAAACATGTTAACATTGAAAAATAAACAATAAGTACTAGGTAGATAGCCTAGTGGTTAAGAGTGTTGGGCCAGTAACCAAATGGTCACTGGTGCGAGCTGACTAGGTGAAAAATATGTAAATGTGCCCTTGAGCAAGGCACTCAACCATAGTTGCTCTGGATAAGAGTGTCTACTAAATTACTGAAATGTACTATTATCATGAAATCATATACTCTTGAGATGGCAGTTACAGTGCATTCGGAAAGTACTTAGACCCCTTCACTTGTCCACATTTTGTTATGTTACAGCCTTATTCTAAAGTTGATTAAATAATTGTTTTTCCTCATCAATCTACACACAATACCCCATAATGACAAAGCGAAAACAGGTTTTTCTAAATTTTGGCAAACGTATTAAAAATAAAAAAACAGAAATACCTTATTTACATAAGTATTCAGACCCTTTGCTATGAGACTCGAAATTGAACTCAGGTGATTCCTGTTTCCATTGATCATCCTTGAGATGTTTCTACAACTTGATTGGACATGATTTGGAAAGGCAGACACCTGTCTATATAATGTCGCACAGTTGACAGTGCATGTCAGAGCAAAACCCAAGCCATGAGGTCAAAGGAATTGTCTGTAGAGCTCCAAGACAGGATTGTGTCGAGGCACAGATCTTGGGAAGGGTACCGAAAAACTTCTGCAGAATTGAAGGTCCCCAAGAACAAAGTAGCCTCCATCATTCTTAAATGGAAGAAGTTTGGAACCATCAAGACTCTTCCTAGAGCTGGCCGACCGGCCAAACTGAGCAATCGGGGGAGAAGGTCCTTGGTCAGGGAGGTACCCAAGAACCTGATGGTCACGCTGACAGAGCTCTAGAGTTCCTGTGTGGAGATGGGAGAACCTTCCAGAAGGACAACCATCTCTGCATCACTCCACCAATCAGGCCTTTATGGTAGAGTGGCCAGACGGAAGCCACTCCTCAGTAAAAGGCACATGACAGCCCGCTTGGAGTTTGCCAAAAGGCACCTAAAGACTCTCAGACCATGAGAAACAAGATTCTCTGGTCTGATGAAACCAAGATTGAACTCTTTGGCCTGAATGCCAAGCGTCACGTCTGGAGGAAACCTGGCACCATCCCTACGGTGAAGCATGGTGGTGGCAGCATCATGCTGTGGGGATGTTTTTCGGCAGCAGGGACTGGGAGACTATTCAGGATTGAGGTAAAGATGAACAGAGCAAAGTACAGAGAGACTGGGCGAAGGTTCACCTTCCAACAGGACAATGGCCCTAAGGACACAGCAAAGACAACACAGGGGAGGCTTCGGGACAAGTCTCTGAATGTCCTTGAGTGTCCCAGCCAGAGCCCATCTCTGGAGAGACCTGAAAATAGCTGTGCAGCGTGTGCCAAGCTTGTAGCATCATACTCAAGAAGACTTGAGGCTGTAATCACTGCCAAAGGTTCTTCAACAAAGTACTGAGTAAAGGGTCTGAATACTTATGTAAATATCAGGTTATTTTTTTTATTTTTTTTTTGCCATTATCATTATGGGGTATTGTGTGTAGATTGATTAGGGGGAAAAAACAAATGGAATCAAGTTTAGAATAAGGCATAACAAAATGTGGAGAAGGTCAAGGGGTCTGAATACTTTCCGAATGCACTGTAGGTTGCAGAATGCTAGCTGTAATACAAACACAAAATGGAAGCGTAGACTTTGTAGGCCGAGTTGTCTTTTAGCAAGGGTTTATTGTTATTTGCGTGGTGGAGCTCAAGACAAGCATAAGCCTACTCTGCCTCTCTCTATTACACACACACACACACACACACACACACACACACACACACACACACACACACACACACACACACACACACACACACACACACACACACACACACACACACACACACACACACACACACACACACACACACACACACACACACACACACACACACACACACACACACACACACACACACACACACACACACACAATAGATCAGGGTGAAAATCACACGCAGCACCCCCACCCTAAAAAGGGCGTCCATACAAATGATCCATTTCAGGAATGTTTACAAAAATATTTTCTTTTTCTTATAAAAGCCAAGAGCAGAGTGTCTCCATGTAGCTAGGCAGAGAGGAGAGGATAATGACATCACATAGCGGGGAGGGGGGAAAACCAAAGGAAAATAACACTGCATATATAAATATATCAAATTAAATACAGGTAGAGGACTGAATACTGAAAATACTCTAACATTATAAATTATCTATAGCAGACTATGACACAAGGGATATTAAGTATGTATAGTATATATACAGACAGACAGCTTGCCATCGATACTATTGCATTCTGTGTTGAGTTCAACCGCAGACAGAGTACCATCCCCCTCCCCTCCAAAAAAAAGAAACAAAAAATAATTTAAGAAGCAAATTCAGGATTTCTAACTCTTAAGTGAACAGCAAAGTTTGTGAGGCACAGTTTCTCAATGGAATCAAGCTACAGTATCAGTTGTTTCTAGAGGTTTCCATGTATACCAAAATCAATCATCAGTATCCCTTTAGAAGTATTATGGCACTCCAAATCCAGTTCCACTGCTAGAAAGGGCAGCAAAAGACACAGTTCTACCATTCCACAAGTTCTATGCATCAGTTCTAGAACTTCCTATCACGTAAAGGAAATTATGTCACAAAGGGGCAGATCCCCATTTTCCCATTGGCTGTCCTGCCATTGCAATTGGGTTCCTGCAACGGGAGTCTATGGGTCAGTACTTTCCATCCCTCCAAAAATGTTCTCCCTTCTTCTCTTCCTCCTCTTTTCTGCTGATATATGTACCACATAGCTAGGTTTTGTTGTTTCTGATTCGACACATAACCACTCATATATATCCAGTGAAGAATTTGCATAAATGAATTGACAATAAAACTGCAGTCCGGTCACACGCCAGCAAAACACAAAACCACACGGCTGTTTTCTTTTTTATAATGATGGGTTTTAGTTAGTTTTCTTTTAGCAGCAATAAAAATTCTGTACTTTTAGTATATACAGATATACATTGGGATGATTTTTCTGTCTGTTCATTTCCTTTCTCTCTTTCTCCCTCTCTTTTGCTCTCTGCTGTTTCTCAGTCAGTCCAGGGGAATGCTTTCCACAGAGAAGATGAGCTGTTCAAAGTGCTGAGCTGTGAAATGTCTTGTGAATATTCCTTCATGTCATTTAATCTGAAGCTTAGCCTCTCATCTTCTCGGCTTGTCACATCTGGGGGACAAAGAGAAGAAAGATGGGCATCAAACAGAGAAGTAGGGCTGTATGGTTGTATGAAACACACACTTGATCTCGTGGTCTGGGAACTGAGCGCCGATGTCTTGGTCAGGTTCTTGGCTAATGGTAGGCTCTTATGTGGTCAAGAAATGTCACCAAACACCATCTTGGTTACCATACCGAGGTCAAGAGTGATATAACAAAAGTCCTCCTGACACCCACACACAAACACACCTGCAGGTCCTCTCATTGAGCTCCAGGTAACGCGCCCTGCAGTGGGCGTTGGAGTTTCTGCAGGAACACTGGCAGGTCAGAGGGTCCTGGATGAACCCCTGCTTCCTCCTCTCTGAACAGCCATCACAACATGGCTCGCACTGACTATAGACAGAGAGAGAGAGGAGAGGAAAAAGTGAAGGATGACGAAGAGGAGAGTGGAGGAGGAGAAAGAGATAGGAAGGATGTTTATTAGAATGGTGTTAACATAGAAAAACACTTCCAAGGTTGTTTCCATCAACCCTCACATGCTGCAACTTCATACTCCCAGTGTATGTAAAAGAGGAGGAATTGTAGCATGTGACTGGAGGGTTGTACAAAAACAGACACTTTGATGATTGGCTTGCCCACGTACAGTATGCATTGTTTCGGTTAGACATGCACCAGCAAGCTTTGGCAGGGACGTGAGGCTTACAACACAAAACATGGTCAAATTCAACACATCCCAAAACTCTCTTTTTACATAGTCAAATAAAACTCAGAGGTCATCTTTGTGCGTAAAGATACAGGATTCGATTTTATTATATTAAAATATTTAAAGTATTGTTTTTCCCTTATACAGATGTATGATCTTAATTTGATCACTCTTTTGTTGCTGAGAATTGTCCTGCAAAGTAGGAAATGCAAACTTGTAGTGTGTTTTAAAATTTCAGACTTGATTTGCCGTAATGAAAAATGTATAAACCCCTACAAAAATGTCCATTAATTATAATCCACATAACATTTCCAGTTGCTGCAGGATTATTTTCCTGCTGTAGAAAACAGGCTCAAGTTAAGATCCTACACCTGTAGACACAGATTAGATAGAGAACCAGTAGATAACAGAGAATAGATCTGGTTTAAATGACAGAGAACAACACTAGAGAGACTGACCATTATGTTTCCACACAGAGGGGTTGATAGTGGACCAAACAATTTTCACAGAATATGGGGGATGACAAACAGACATTCCATTGAGAACTAAAGGCACAGCACCGTGAACAGAACAACTCTATTTTTGACATTAAGACCATTGCAGAAACATGAGCATCTCTTTTCATTGAAAACAGCACCAAACTAAACACTGTTTTGTGATGATCGTGCTGTTGAGTCACATGGAGGCAACAAAGAGAACGCACAAATAGAACGGGCTAAACAACTTGTTGGTTTACATAACCCAGAAAGAAACAACAATGTGATAGCCATCTCTCGTATGCTCACATTGCAAACAAAGCCCAGCGATGGCAGACGGAACAGCAAAAACCTGTTTGGAGGGATGAAAAGAAACAGAAAAGGAGAAAGGGGGAAAAGGACGACTGTGAGACACAGCAAAGCGAGACAGACTCAACACTGACGTAGGCCTTGGATGATCCCCACAACAGATCCCGGATTAGTGAGATCGTCTGCAAAAAGCCATGCTGGTTGGTTCAGTTCTGTTATCTTTACCATTACCCTATCACTCCATACCTTCCCTCCATCCCCCCCATAGGGTTCCTTATCACCAGGGGGGTGGGTTGGGTGGGTGGGGTGAGGGTGGCAGTGAGGTATGGAGGCAGGGTTATGGGTGAATCGCGTGAGTTCTAGTGATTTGAGGTTGAAGTCACGCCTAACCATAGATATAGGATCAGATGTTATTTATTATTCAGGGACGATTTCTACCTTCTCCGGTTCGGTGGGGGTTCAGAAAAGCCTCATGCCAATTGATGCATGTGGTGGGATTGGGTGGTGGTGGGATTGAGTGGTGGTGATGTTGGGTGGTGGTGGGATTGAGTGGTGGTGGGATTAGGTGGTTGTGGTATTGGGTGGTGGTGGGATTGAGTAATGGTAGTATTGAGTAGCGGTGGTATTGAGTGGTGGTGGTATTGGGCGGAGTGGTGGGGCGGTGAATAGTGAGTGAGCAAATTAATTAAAAGCGGCAAATGAACTCCTCCCAAATAAGCGTAACAATCAGAAGCGCCACACTCAAGTGCAGGTGGGGAGAGAAGGCCGAGCTGACATACGCTTCACCATTCTTTTGGTCATGGTTTTTCTTTCGCTTTCTCTTTTGGCCTTTGCCCTTGTCTTTCCGGGGTTTTCTGGAAAAAAGAGAAAGAAGCACAACAACGCTGAGACATCTGAGAGGAGGAGGAAAAGAGACACATATCAACCAAATAGAGAGTTCCGAGTTCAGTTAGTAAGTAAATCAAATCGATCAATCAATTGATTGTTCATTCACACAGAGTCTATAGGTTGTGAGAGAATGGACTGAAATAGAATCAAATGGTCTCAATAAATCTAGTAAGTAAGAATTGGACAAGTAAGCCTTGTCCGAGCCAGAACGGCCTTTTTGTCACCGGTGTAGCGAAATAAATGATCAAAAGAAGACTGGCTTCTAGACATTCTTACACCAAAAAGAAAGGGTTTCACAAGTTTAATATTTAAGTTTGGCTGTGTAAGCTGTTTCTTTGCCCAAACACTCTCTCAGCTACTCTTAACATTCCCAAATGGATAGTGGACTATAGATGGGTTGGTTGTTTAGCAACAAAACTGGCGCTTGCGCAACTATGGGGCAAACCAGACAGGGCCGGCTTAGATTGTTGACATGTAAACTACACTACCGGTCAAACGTTCTAGAACACCTACTCATTCAAGGGTTTTTCTTTATTTGTACTATTTTCTACATTGTAGAATAATAGTGAAGACATCAAAACTATGAAATAACACATATGGAATCATGTAGTAACCAAAGAAAAGTGTTAAACAAATCAAAATATATTTTATATTTGAGATTCTTCAAATAGCCACCCTTTGCCTTGATGTCAGCTTTGCACACTCTTGGCATTCTCTCAACCAGCTTCATTAGGTAGTCACCTGGAATGGATTTCAATTAACAGGTGTGCCTTCTTAAAAGTTAATTTGTGGAATTTATTTCCTTCTTAATGCATTTGAGCCAATCAGTTGTGTTGTGACAAGGTAGGGGGGTATACAGAAGATAGCCTTATTTGGTAAAAGACCAAGTCCATGTTATGGCAAGAACAGCTCAAATAAGCAAAGAGAAATGACAGTCCATCATTACTTTAAGACAAAGGTCAGTCAATACGGAATATTTCAAGAACTTTGAACGTTTCTTCAAGTGCAGTCGCAAAAACCATCAAGAGCTATGATGAAACTGGCTCTCATGAGGACCGCCACAGGAAAGGAAGACCCAGAGTTACCTCTGCTGCAGAGGATAAGTTCATTAGAGTTACCAGCCTCAGAAATTGCAGCTCAAGTAACAAACACATCTCAACATCAACTGTTCAGAGGAGACTGTGTGAATCAGGCCTTCATGGTCGAATTGCTGCAAAGAAACCACTACTAAAGGACACCAATAAGAAGAGACTTGCTTGGGCCAAGAAACACAAGCAATGGACATTAGACTGGTGGAAATGTGTCCTTTGGTCTGGAGTCCAAATTTGAGATTTTTGGTTCCAAACGCCATGTCTTTGTGAGATGCGGTGTAGGTGAAAAGATGATCTCTGCATGTGTAGTTCCCACCGTAAAGCATGGAGGAGGTGTTATGGTGTGGGGGTGCATTGCTGGTGACACTGTCAGTGATTTATTTAGAATTCAAGGCACACTTAACCAGCATGGCTACCAAAGCATTCTGCACGATACGCCATCCAATCTGGTTTGGGCTTAGTGGGACTATCATTTGTTTTTCAAAAGGACAATGACCCAACACACCTCCAGGATGTGTAAGGGCTATTTTACCAAGAAGGAGAGTGATGGAGTGCTGCTTCAGATGACCTGGCCTCCACAATCCCCCGACCTCAACCAAATTGAGATGGTTTGGGTTGAGTCGGACCGCAGAGTGAAGGAAAATCAGCCAACAAGTGCCCAGCATATGTGGGAACTCCTTCAAGACTGTTGGAAAAGCATTACTGGTGAAGCTGGTTGAGAGAATGCCAAGAGTGTGCAAAGCTGTCATCAAGGCAAAGGGTGGCTATTTGAAGAATATCACATATAAAATGTATTTTGATTTTTTGGTTACTAGTGGATTTGGATAGCATTGACATGAAATCGGTCAAAACACCTCAAAACAAGACTTGGTATCAAGAACAAGATTAAATTAGTCACTTACAATTCCCCACATGGCCGTTTCTTGTCACTGTTGGTAGCTATCTGGCCATCTAGAATCACAACTCACGGACTTCTGACCCATTTAAGCGTGCACATCTTTTTCGTGACGTTGTCAGCTAACCCATCTAGAAGGTTCAGCCTAGTTCTCTTTCAACTAATCTGGGTCAGCAGTCTTGGCTGATTGAACTCAACAAGCTCTCACAGTCTCACTGCAGAATTAGACGTTTTTTGCACTTTTCTCCAAATGTCAAATTTCAAAGTTGCTCCAAACGTCACATTTCAAAGTTAAGGGTTAAGGTTTTGGGTTAAGGTTTTGGATGGGATTAAAATATTACATTTAAGCATTCATTCTGAATGGTTAAATTAAGGGTTAAGTTTTGGGATAGGGTTAAAAATAAAACATGAGGGTCCACCACTGGGATTAAACATGCAACCTTCTGATCCGGAGTCATAGGATGATGAGGGTCCACCACCCCCGTCCACAACACCCTAGCAAAACCCAAGCCTACTTGATGATAATAGCGCCCACTGTTGCCCCTAGTGTCCGGTTTTGAAGGCATTTCCCGATGTCCTTAGGACACGGACAGACGTCCAATTTCGAAGTAAATCTTGAATGATCTGCCTGTTCAACTTGTTTGATATAACAATGAGCTCCAGGTAGTGTATTCACTACCAGCAGATTTAACAGGTGCAGGATATATAACAAAATGTGACAAGAAAGGAACATTTCCGCACAATGATTGGGTGAACCTAGACTAGAGTTAGCTTCCATAGGATGACTGATCCAGCTCATTGATCTTCAGAGGTCTTTTGTACCATCATTAACACCACTGTGACTAACTACCCAGGAGGCTCCTCTCCCAGGGCCTGATTAATGCAGGGGCATTCATGGGCTGAAGCCCAGGGGCCCAAGCCTGTAGGGGGCCCTTGAAGCAGAGCTACATTGAAATGTATACATTTTTTATTTTTTTACTGCAACCTCCAAGAGGCAGATAAAACTAAAAAAAAAAAAAACATTTTTACAGTTAAATTACGTCTTTATTATTAGGCTCATAAAAGAATGTGTGCACTTGCAAGCGCCTGAAAAGGGGAGGGGGGCCCTATAAAATATCTAAGCCCTGTGTCACGCCTGCTCCCGCTTCCCTGCCCTGGCGCTCAAGGGCGCCAGGCTGCCCATCATTACGCACACCTGTCACCATCGTTACGCGCATCTGCGCTCATTGGACTCACCTGGACTCCTTCCCTTTGTTGATTGCCCTTATATATCTGTCTGTTCCCCAGGTTGATCCCTGTGTCTGTATTAATGCTGTTTTGTTCCCCTTGTCCAGACGCTGTTCTTGTTTTGTTATATGTCAGTTTTTTCATTAAATGTTCACAACCTGTACTTGCTTCCTGTCTCCCTGTGTCTGTCCTCACACCCTGGGGCCTATGATTTCTTAATCCAACCCTGCCGTCACCACAGCACGGTCAGGTGTAAAAGTTAAGCAAACAGTAAAGCACGGTAGCATTCAAAACAAGAGTTGAACAACCCCTGGGGCATCTCAGTGTAGAAACATGGTGGCAGGGAGCACTAAAGCCATCAGCCTTCAGACTCATAAATGGTTAAAACAAGGTCGGTCAGATTGGGTCGCAGAAACAAACCCTTATCTATACCGCTGGACATATTACATATAAAACCTAAATACAACCAAAGACCCTGGTAATCCCATAGGTTTAGGCAATAGGAAAACTAGAGAATCATGTGTAGAGGGGGGAAAATATTGTAGTACAAGAAATCCACTCTAGCCAGACCCATAAACACACACAAAAAAAAGTTAAAGGGGGTATCTAAAAAGACACATTGAAATCTACACATCACAGGATCTTGTAAAACAGAGTTAAAGACATGAACCCTGAGACATACTTAAAGGCAGGTACAGAGACAGAAGGGTGGATCATAACAGAGGAATGTAAAGAGCAGCATGTGTATATAAAACGACATTAGATGAAAGGAGCAGAGGACATTGACCTCATCAGGTGTCACTTATTCACCTGAGTGAAGCATTCTAGGGGTTTTCCGTGTGTCTCACCTGAGAGCTCAAAGGGTCATGATATTAGAATGGATAAAAGGGATGTGATTATTTGTGAACTTCAGGAAGCTCATTGGATCTGTGCCAACATGGTAGTGTAAGTGATCATTTGATACACTGTTGTATACCGTGTGTAACAACACACATTTTAAGAGAGAAATGCTGAAAATGTGTGAGCACAGGAGAAAGAGCGATAGAGAGAGTGATAGAGAGAGAGAGAGAGAGAGAGAGAGAGAGTGTGTGTGAGAGAGAGAGAGTTTGAGAGCGAGAGGACAGTGAAAGATAGAGGGAGAAAGACAATGCCAAAGAGATGGATAGACAAGAAAATAATAGACATCGCTTCTCAAATCAACACAGAGCAAGAGTCTGTACTCACTTTTCTCTCTGTTCTTTCACTTCTTTCTTTGGCCTGAGAGACAGAAACAAACAACATGACGTTACCTTACAGCCCTTACCTTACTATTAAGCATGCAACTGTTAAGAAAATGACTAAAAACGGTTAAATCCCCTTGGATTGATGAGGAATTGAAACATTGTATGGTTGAGAGGGATGAAGCAAAAGGTATGGCATATAAGTCTAGCAGCACAACAGTTGGGCAAACATACTGAAAATTGAGAAATCATGTGACTAAACTAAATAAAAAGAAGAAGAAACTATACTATGAAACAAAAATAAATGATATAAAGAATGATAGTAAAAAGCTTTGGAGCACCTTAAATGCAATTTTGGGCAAAAAGGCAAACTCGGCTCCATCATTCATTTAATCAGATTCATCACAAAACCCACCAATATTGCCAACTACTTTAGTGATTTTTTAATTGGCAAGAAACGCTGACATTTCACATCTAAGTATATCTGACTAAATTATGAAAGACAAGCATTGTACTTTTGAATTCCGTAAAGTGAGTGTGGAAGAGGTAAAAAAAGTATTGTTGTATATCAACAATGACAACCTGGATGGAAAGTTACTAAGGATATTAGAGGACGATATTGCCAGTCCTATTTGCCATATCTTCAATTTAAGCCTACTAGAAAATGTGTTCCCTCAGGCCTGGCGGGATGCAAAAGTCATTCCGCTACCCAAGAATAGTAAAGCCTCCTTTACTGGCTCAAATAGCCGACGAATCAGCCTGTTAGCAACCCTTAATAAACTTTTGGAAAAAATGGTGTTTGACCAGATAAAATGCTATTTTACAGTAAACAAATTGACTGATGATTGGCTGAGAGAAATTGATGATCAAATGATTGTGGGAGCTGTTTTGTTAGACTCCAGTGCGGCTTTTGACATTATCAATCATAGTCTGTTGGTGGAAAAAACTTGTGTTATGGCTTTACACCCCCTGCTATATTGTGGATAAAGATTTACCTGTCTAACAGAACACAGAGGGTGTTCTTTAACGGAAGCCTCTCCAACATAATCCCGGTAGAATCAGGAATTCCCCAGGGCAGCTGTCTAGGCCCCTTACTTTTTTAAATCTTTACCAACGACATGCCACTGGCTTTGAGTAAAGCCTGTGTGTCTATGTACGCGGATGACTCAACACTATACACGTCAGCTACTACAGCAACTGAAATGACTGCAACACTTAACAAAGAGCTGCAGTTAGTTTCAGAATGGGGGGCAAGGAATAAGTGATTCCTAAATATTTCAAAAATTAAAAGCATTGTATTTGGGGCAAACCATTTACTAAACCCTAAACCTCAACAAAATCCTGTAATGAAAAATGTGGAAATTGAGCAAGTTGTGGTGACTAAACTGCTTGGAGTAACCCTGGATTGTAAACTGTCATGGTCAAAACATATTGATACAACAGTAGCCAAAATGGGGAGAAGTCTGTCCATAATAAAGCGTTGCTCTGCCTTCTTAACAACACTATCAACAAGGCAGGTCCTACAGGCCCTAGTTGTCGCACCTGGACTACTATTCCATTGTGTGGTCAGGTGCCACAAAGTGGAAAAGAGATTGACTTCATCACTCCTTGTTTTTGTAAGAAGTGTTGACAAGCTGAATGTACCAAGCTGTCTGTTTAAACTACTAGCACACAGCTCGGACACACATGCATACCCCACAAAAAATGCCGCCAGAGGTCTCTTCACAATCTCCAAGTCCAGAACAGACTATGGGAGGTGCACAGTACTACATAGAGCAGGGGTGTCAAACGTACGGCCCGCGGGCCGGATCAGGCCCGCAAACGGGTTTAATCCGGCCCGCGAGATGATTTTAAAAAAAATAAAAAATAAATAAAAAATAAACATTTGTAAAGTATAAAAATGCGCTGCAATTTTTCAATAAAATAAACTGCTGTTCCAATTGCGTCCACTGGATGGCGCAATAGCAATTGTGTTAAGCAAGCAAACTGTTTATACCGGGGCAGAGCAAGTAGGTCAAGCACGTGCAGCCAATGAGCTACTTTGTTTTGCCCGCGATATTTATTACGGCTTCTACTTTTAACATTATGTGCTTTGGCACCCTCATTGCCCCAATATGTCTCTGTCAAAAAAGAGAAAAGTGGACGCAGAGTGCAGAGTGTTCCAAGAAAAATGGTCATCCTATTTAATCACGGAATTGAATGGGAAAGCTGTATGTTTGGTGTGTTCACAGCATGTTGCAGTGCTGAAAGAATATAACCTTCGTCACCACTATGTGAGTCTTCATGCCGACAAATATGACAACTTTCAAGGACAGCGGAGATGAGAGAAGGTGAATGAACTGTTGTCGGGTCTGAAGAAACAGCAGTCTGTGTTTACTCACAGCCGAGACATCAGTGACGCTGCAGTGAAAGCTAGCTACCTCATTGCTAATGAAATCGCAGTGGCTTCAAAACCATTTAGTGAGGGTGAATTTGTAAAAACATGCATGATGAAGGCAGCGGAGATTGTGTGCCCTGAAAAGCGGCAGGCTTTTGCAAATATCAGCCTGACAAGAAACACAGTTGCAGACAGGATTTCCGATCTTTCAGTGGATTTGGACAGCCAGTTGAAGCAAAAAGTAAAGTCATTTATTGCGTTTTCAGTTGCAATTGATGAAAGCACGGACATTACAGATGTTGCACAACTGGCCATTTTTTCCTCCGCGGAGTTGATGACACATTGACCGTCACCGAGGAGTTTGTGGAGTTGGTGCCGATGACAGATACAACGACAGCAGCTGATATTTTTACCGCACTCGTCGGCGCGCTGGACAGGGTCGGAGTGGACTGGTCCCGCGCTGTCAGCCTGGCTACAGATGGTGCGCCCTCAATGATCGGGAAAAAAGCAGGCGTTGTGACAAAGTTCAGAGAGAAAGTGCAATCTGCAAATGGAGGACGTGATTTTTTGACTTTTCACTGTATTTTGCACCAGGAGGCTTTGTGTTGCAAGTCATTAAAGATGGATAACGTCATGAAGGTGGTCATCCAAACTGTTAATTTCATCCGATCCAGAAGCCTGAATCACCGCCAGTTTGACAGCCTTCTCAGAGAGAAAGACCACATCTATGGCCTGCCATACCACACTGAGGTAAGATGGTTAAGCCGAGGTGCTGTGCTGAGGCGTTTCTTTGATTTACGAGAAGAAATTGAACAGTTCATGGAAGAAAAGGGCAAACCAGTGTTAGAATTTCATTCCGCAGAATGGATGCAGGACCTTGCATTTATGGTGGATGTTACAGAGCACCTGAATAACTTGAACAAACAGCTGCAAGGGCGCAACAAAGTTGTCACGCAGTATTATGACAGCATACGTTCTTTCAAGTTGAAGCTGTCATTGTGGGAGACGCAACTTGCCGGTGGTGATGCAGCTCACTTCCCCTGTCTGAAAAATGTGTGCGCGACCCAACATGTGGCAGACATGAAGCGGTTCAAAGATAAAATAACGGGACTGTTACGGCAGTTTGAGCAACGCTTTCAGATTTATGTTTATATGTTTTTATGTTGATGTGCTATTGTTTTTAATTGATTTTATTTTATTTGTATATTTAACCTATTCTTGACTCTGTGGTTCTTGCACTTGTTTGGGGAACAGGATTTCATTATTTTTATCTACATTTCTGCCTGAGAAATGACACCCTGATATAGTTCTGTGATCTGTGATATACTTCTGTGAATCACTGAGGCATTGTGTGTTTGTGTGTTCTTTGTCCTCAGAACTTTCAAATAACTTGAGGTGTTATGATTAATAGTGATGTTGTGCTTTTGGACACTGTCCTCAGGCTCCAGCTTTATGTTTATATGTTTTTATGTTGATGTGCTATTGTTTTTAATTGTTTTTATTTTATTTGTATATTTAACCTATTCTTGACTCTGTGGTTCTTGCACTTGTTTGGGGAACAGGATTTCATATTATTTTTATCTACATTTCTGCCTGAGAAATGACACCCTGATATAGTTCTGTGATCTGTGATATACTTCTGTGAATCACTGAGGCATTGTGTGTTTGTGTGTTCTTTGTCCTCAGAACTTTCAAATAACTTGAGGTGTTTTATGATTAATAGTGATGTTGTGCTTTTGGACACTGTCCTCAGGCTCCAGCTTTATGTTTATATGTTTTTATGTTGATGTGCTATTGTTTTTAATTGTTTTTATTTTATTTGTATATTTAACCTATTCTTGACTCTGTGGTTCTTGCACTTGTTTGGGGAACAGGATTTCATTATTTTTATCTACATTTCTGCCTGAGAAATGACACCCTGATATAGTTATGTGATCTGTGATATACTTCTGTGAATCACTGAGGCATTGTGTGTTTGTGTGTTCTTTGTCCTCAGAACTTTCAAATAACTTGAGGTGTTTATGATTAATAGTGATGTTGTGCTTTTGGACACTGTCCTCAGGCTCCAGCTTTATGTTTATATGTTTTTATGTTGATGTGCTATTGTTTTTAATTGTTTTTATTTTATTTGTATATTTAACCTATTCTTGACTCTGTGGTTCTTGCACTTGTTTGGGGAACAGGATTTCATATTATTTTTATCTACATTTCTGCCTGAGAAATGACACCCTGATATAGTTCTGTGATCTGTGATATACTTCTGTGAATCACTGAGGCATTGTGTGTTTGTGTGTTCTTTGTCCTCAGAACTTTCAAATAACTTGAGGTGTTTTATGATTAATAGTGATGTTGTGCTTTTGGACACTGTCCTCAGGCTCCAGCTTTATGTTTATATGTTTTTATGTTGATGTGCTATTGTTTTTAATTGTTTTTATTTTATTTGTATATTTAACCTATTCTTGACTCTGTGGTTCTTGCACTTGTTTGGGGAACAGGATTTCATTATTTTTATCTACATTTCTGCCTGAGAAATGACACCCTGATATAGTTATGTGATCTGTGATATACTTCTGTGAATCACTGAGGCATTGTGTGTTTGTGTGTTCTTTGTCCTCAGAACTTTCAAATAACTTGAGGTGTTATGATTAATAGTGATGTTGTGCTTTTGGACACTGTCCTCAGGCTCCAGCTTTATGTTTATATGTTTTTATGTTGATGTGCTATTGTTTTTAATTGTTTTTATTTTATTTGTATATTTAACCTATTCTTGACTCTGTGGTTCTTGCACTTGTTTGGGGAACAGGATTTCATTATTTTTATCTACATTTCTGCCTGAGAAATGACACCCTGATATAGTTCTGTGATCTGTGAAACAGTTCTGTTAATCACTGAGGCATTGTGTGTTTGTGTGTTCTTTTTCTTTAGAATTTTCAAATAAACTTGACGTGTTTTATGATTAATAGTGATGTTGTGCTTGTACTATTTTGGACACACTGTCCTCAGGCTCCAGCTTTATGTTGTATGTTGATCGTATTAAAACAAAGAAAACAATCTGAAGTTGTTGTTTTTAAGTTATATATATACCATGATTTTTCCGGTCCGGCCCACTTGGGAATAGATTTTCCTCCATGTGGCCCCTGAGCTAAAATGAGTTTGACACCCCTGACATAGAGCCATGACTAAATGGAACTCTATTCCACATCAGGTAACTGATGCAAGCAGTAGAATCAGATTTAAATAACAGGTAAAAATACACCTTATGGAACAGCGGGGACTGTGAAGAGACACACACAAAGGTACATACACACGCATACGCACACAAGCGCTAGCACACGCACTCTACACACACATACATTGTAATATGGTTTTATGGTGGTATTATACATGTTGTTTTGTAGATATGTAGTGGTGTAATAATGTTATATGATGTACTGTTTTATCTTTTGTTTTATATGTGATGTAAGTGACTTAATGTGTTTTGACCCCAGGAAGAGTAGCTGCTGCCTTGGTAACAGCTAATGGGGATCCCTAATAAATACAAAATACAGCCCACCGTTTGTTTCTTTGTAAACAGATTCAGATCATCAACAGTGGACAGATAGATATACATAGACAGGGATCAGCTTGGGTGGCCATGTAGCACTCTGCTACTCTAGTGTTTTCCATCCCTGATCCCTAAGTAGTCATGACAAGGATGGCTTTCTCCCTGGCTTATCTCCTTGATTTGTTTTCAAACAACAACAACACACACACACACACACACACACACAAATACACACTATCTGATAACAATAGCCGATTGTCAAGTCTATTTTGTTGTTCAACTTGACAGCTCATTTCCCTATAACTGATTATGGAGCAACGGAATCCTCTGGCTCACAGGTAATCCAGTGGGTACAGGAGGCCAAGAATTGTGAAACGTCACATTTAATTTCACAGTACTCTCAATAGGTTAGGAGAAAACCATGTAAATCTATGCAGTCTACTTATAAACTAGTTAGAGTTGTGAAAACATAGTCATTTACAAAGAGTTTACTAATGGTTAACAAACTATGAATTAATGGTTTATGAGTAGTTTATATGCTGGTTATGAAAATGTGGAAAATTATACACACTGAATGTAGGATAGAAATCTTTATAAAATGTTAAATGAGTAGCTATGGTGTTAAAGGAAAAGCTGATACATGGTTCATACCGTGTCACTTTTCTGTGACCTGCAAAGTGTCTCAGAGTAGGAGTGCTGATCTAGGATCAGTTTTGCCTTAAAATCATCATGAATACGATAATATGGACAGGAGGGATCTGACCCTAAATCCGCACCCCTACTCTTATACGCTTTGTGGATACAGGCCTTGATCAGTGCTCAGTGTGATTGTAGATGGCACCCGGAAGTAGGAACATACTTTTAGTTATCTAACAGAGACAATCAATATCGCGGTTTACAGTAAATACCCCTGAATTCCTCGTAGAAGACCTCCATATGCCCTGAACTGAGAAGAACACTGGATTAGATAGAAGGTGTGTGTGTGTGTGCGTAACTGCAGCATGTTTACAAAATAATACTTAAACATGTCTTACCTGCATTCACATGCACTGTGTTCTGTAAAACTCATAAAGATATCATTTTGTTGCCTTTGGGGTTTTATTCTTTTTATCTGTGGAAACAAAAACAGGAGAAGACAGAGTCCAATATAGAACGGTCAAACATACTCACACATATAGACTCTCTCCTTTCCCATTTGCTCTCTGACATTATACTCAAATATACAATACGCACATATATTGTTTACACACTTTTATACCATTGCAATGTTGAATACTTGTTTCTGATTGGCTTGAAGGGCATTCTAGAGCGTGCATTATTTCCCTATAATGCACGGTATATTTGCGCGGTAGAATGCAATGGCTATAGTTCATTCTTACATGTTCTATGTTTGAGCTGCTTTTGAAAGCAAAAGTATATTTGAAAACTTTACTGGCATTGTTGAATTTGATTTTCATAATGGCAAGCTAGGACTGATGGTTTGGTTAGCTAAACTAGCAAGTCTGTTTGTTTGGTTACCACGGCAACTACTGTAGCTATCTAGTAAACTTGCTAGCTACTTCAGTGGATGTTGAACACATTTTTACCAGCAAATGAACACATTTCCTGCCGCAAATCCGTTAAATTATAGCCATGGTATAAAAGGGATAATCAACTCGGGGCTCTATGCGTTCTCTGGAAAATAATGCAACTTTGCGTCGTGGAACACACCTTCCATGTCATTCATTATTTTCCATAGAACGCATAGCCCCTTGTTGATTATCCCTTACATATATCATGGCATTGTTGAATACGTTTCTGATTGGCTTGAAGGGCATTCTAGAGCGTGCATTATTTCCCTATAACGCACGGTATATTTGCACGGTAGAATCCAATGGCTATAGTCAGAGATGTGGACTAGAGTTACGTGACTTGGACTCAAGTACTACTCAAGTCACACATTTTGCGACTTAAGATTTGACTTGGCAAAAATAAAAAACACTTGCCACTTGACTTTGACTTGAGCATCTATGACTTGTGACTTAACTTGGACTTGAGCTGTATGACTCCAGAGACTCGATATGTCATCTCGCGCACTATGTAAGCCTATCTGTCCTTCATATCAGAGTGCTGCAGGTTCTGTGCATTCTGTTCTGTGTCTTGAACAATCAGATTCACGGAAATCACAGTTTGCGCAGGCCAGGCACAAAGCACATAATCTAGCAAAGCGCACGCCGCTCCACTGTCCTCCAATATTTATTTAGCAAAAGTGATAACACATCACTACCGACATACACAAGCAAGAACTCTTCACAGAAATGTTGCAGCAGCCTACACCTAAACTGTATAGGAAGAAAACGAGACGATTTCTCAGTCTGATCAACTAGGCTACTGATAACAACTGCAGCCCGCAGCTGCATAGGCTACAGCCAATGCTCCCTGTCCCCTCTCGGCAGGGTTATGTAGCCTATTTATTGCCCATATATTTGTGTTAGGAGAAAATGTGAATGTGATCAAATTTGGTTTAGGCTATATTCAAACTTGGGCTGACTGGCTAGACTACCTTGAACTTTTCAATCCAAAAGTATTAAATGAAATGAATAAAAAAAAACACAATACTGATTACATAAATAGACTGTGTGAGTTACTTTTAATTGCAGTTGCATAGGCCTATGCAATGCAAACCTGCATAAAGCAAGCTCAACCCTGTGAGTTCTATTGTCCAATTGCAATGGTTGTGTCTGTGTAAAGGAAAGTCTGGTTTAAAATATAATTAATATTAACAAGTACAAGGTTGCTGCAGTTTGACAGGGTTTCCATCCTCCCGAGGGCCAGGAGTTTTTCCATAATTTCTTTAAAACCCATTTGACCTGTTTAGAGAATATCTGTATACCTAGGTGGCAGGTAGCCTAGTGGATAAGGGTGTTGGGCCAGTAACCGAAAGGTTGATGGTTCAAATCCCTGAGCCAACTAGGTGAAATATCTGTTGGTGTGCCCTTGAGCAAGGCACTTTACCCTAATTACTCTGGATAAGAGCGTCTGCTAAATGACTAAAATGTACATCTGGTCCCATTGCCCATATAAATACCATTTTTACAACTACTAATTAATCACTGTCAGACCCTATAGGGTCCTGATTTATACCTGGTTTGGTTACCAGATTAGCAAAACTCCAGGCCCGAGGCTAAACAATTTGCCCCACTACTCTGGGACCTAGTGCCAGCTGTGCATTAGGCCATTATTGGTCCCAAAAATCGTTGCATTCGGTTTCAAAGACTATGTGGTCGTGGGGGGGAAAGGATGCAGTTCGTAAAACATGTCTGTCCAAAATCACGGATGCATTGCAATTGCAATGAAATTGGCATAAAACACTTAACCATTGACTTGAGGACTCAAACCCAAAATTAGGGATTTTTATTACTTGGAACTTGGATTTGGACTTGAGACTCGAAGATTCAGACTTGAGACTTGCAAAATGGTGACTTGGTCCCATCTCTTGCTAACATGTTCTATCTTTGAGTTGCTTTTGAAAGTAAAAGTATAGATATATGTAAGGGATAATCAACTCGGGCTCTATATGTTCTCTGGAAAATAATGCAACTCCGTGGAAGCTTCCACGTCATTCAATATTTTCCATAGAGCGCATAGCCCCTCGTTGATTATCCCTTACATATATCTACATACATAGACCCACATAACTTGAAACACGCATGTAGCATACGGTATATTGATTGTCAGAAAGAGGCTGGAGAGATTCCTGAAAGGGATACTATAGAATGTGAGGATAGGGGGAGGCTAGAGGCTATGGGGTTAAAGGTTAAAGTTTAAGGGCTCTCACCTCCATAGTGATGTTACTGTGTTGTGAGGGGACATGGGAGATAGAGGAATTAACAGAGAGAGAGAAAGAAGTATGGGGTTAAGGGTTTCACCTCAATTATGTTATAAATGACATTTTGGGGAGGTTTCCAGTCTAAATGTAAGAGGTAATGGGGTTAAACAGTCAAAGGTCAGGGGTCAGTCTCTCACCTCCATGGTGACGTTATGTGTGGAGGTTGGAGTACACTGTAGCATCTCGTCATTGCAGCAGCCTGCGCAGCGTGTCAGCACCACACAGGACGGGATGAAGATGTGTTCTACCTCCTCTGGGTACTCCTGTGCGATCTCTACCAGCAGCTCCCTGGGCTGACACAGGCTCTTATTGTACACCTCCATGAAGGATATCACTGAGGAGAGACATACACACACATTTAGTATACCAAGAACCCATACACACATACTGTAAATAATCAACAAACACAAACACAGGGCTGCTTTGGCAAGATCACACATGCATATTACAAAATATACATCTACCACATTAACTTCCCTTCAACAACCAGCATCTCCCACCGGGATCACCCATACAAAAATGTATGCACGCATTACTGTAAGTCGCTATAGATAAAAGCGTCTACTACAGTACATGCCATATGTACATTATATTGTATATTTTATTATTATATTATCTCACCCATCAAGGTGTCTCTCTCCTTTCCTCTCACACTGTGGCTCTGGTATGCTTCTGTACTGACTCCCTCTTTCTCTCCCTCTCTCAGCCCCACAAAGCTTGGTACCTTCTGCACTGAAGCACTAAAAACATTGTAGCCTGGGGCTGCACATGTTGAGAAAGACATTGAGATACCACAGACAGACAACAACTCTGATTCCTCTTGGAGAGTAAGGGAGAAATGGGAAATCATAGCACACCCCCTGCAGTGTCCTATACCAGCCAAACCAAACATAGTATGAAACAATATCACATATAACATTCAGCTTCTGATCGAGAGCAGCTCCTTTCCAAATATATTGTGCAACTTATGCTTGTGTAAAGAAGCCAAGAGGGCCAGAGACTAAATTCCATTCTATAAAAATCCTGTTAACATAACATTTCCCTATCTTAACCTCACACAATATTTCAAATGGAATTCGTGGAGATTATAAGTGAAAATTGACAACATTCTGGTTGAAATGTGTTACTATGGCTTCAATGTTGGAGCCTATTCGTCCAACCTGAGGACCTAGTGCAGTTACGCTTCAGTCCACCAGGCGGTGTGGATCTCCCTGTGCTCTCAATGTGAACCACACAAACCCCGTTTCATTGGCAGTTTGCCTTCGAGGGAGCCCAATGAAAACCCTTTTCCCACGGTGCCTTACACCTACCGCCGTCATGCGAAATCCTCCATCCTTCTTTCGGTATGTGGGCACTCTGCACGGGAGAAAGGAAAAGGGGCACACAAATTGGAGGTTAGATTGTAGCCTTACATTTAAGAATGTCATATTACAGTGCAGTTCACATTGACTAAATTGTAACCGAAGAGGCTACGTGGCGCAGACACGATATGACATTGGCCGCTGTCAAATATCAACTGGTTTGTTTGTTTTGTTTCAAAGCCAAGGCCTACATTGTCGTTCACTGTGAAGATTGAATTAGTTGTACGCCTGTTTGCAAATGTAACCATTTAATTCTCTATGCGAGTGTAGGCTACGCAACTCAACAGACCACACTTGTTAATTGTTGCTACAATGACCCGCATCCAGCCCACAGTTTGCGACATTTCTCCATGGGGGGATTTCTGTCAGCAGTCCTGCCACAGTGGTTGGCATCTATCCACTCATATGCAAGCAAGTACGTACACAGGCACGCACGCACACACACACCATCATCATCATCATCACACACACACACACACACACACACTCGTGCAATTGCTGCCCAGGATTGCGTGAGGCGGGAGATGCATTACCAAGTGGCTTTCACTGAGGACTACGGAGTTTAGTCGGAACAATGCAAGCGCATAATATCAACCTCAACTGTGACCGCTGCTACCAATTCTCAGTCTCACATCGGAATTACACATTCATCCATGTTTCTTAAACATCAAATTTCAAAGTTGTTCCAAACGTCAAATTTCAAAGTGTTTAAGGATAAGTTTAGGCATTAACTCCAAATGTTTAAGGTTAGGGTTAAGTTCAGGCATTAACTCCACATTCTTAAGGTTAGGCATTAACTCCGAATGTTTAAGGTAAGGTTAAGGTTTGGAATATGCTTAAAGCAAAAAAATCAAAAACAACTTTCAATCGCTGGATTCGAACTTGCAATCTTTGGAATCAGAGGCAGATGCCCATCCACAATCCCCATCCACAACACTGAAACCTACTTGAAGGTAACAGCGCTCACTGTTGCCCCTAGTGGCCAGTTTCCACGTCATTTCCCGACTTCCTCATACATGGATGGACGTCGAATACTGACTTATATCACGGGTGACTTGGCTGGACCATTTTCACCCCAGCCTGAAAAGTAAAATAGACCCGTCGTTTCTTTTCAGGTAGCAGCAGTCCCCGCCCCTTGGGTGGTGTGAGGGTCTGGCGATTGGGACTTATGAGAGCCGCAACACCTCAAAGGCTCTTATTGATGTCGTTTTTAATGATATTACTAATTACGACCACTAATAGTCCCCTGTAGCTCAATTGGTAGAGCATGGCGCTTGTAACGCCAGGGTAGTGGGTTCGATCCCCGGGACCACCCATACGTAAAAAATTTATGCGCACATGACTGTAAGTCACTTTGGATAAAAGCGTCTGCTAAATGGCATATTATATTATATTATTACTTGCGACAGCAGCAGAAGCTTTGACTCTACATGGTTGATTATTAGAGCTCGTTTAATAACAAACGCTTGACAGGTCTCATGGGGTGTTCACGGGTTGACTGATGAGGGGGTGCGGGAGAGAGAGGTGGGCTGAGAAAGTATAGGCCAATTCGATATAATTCAGGAGTAACCTATTCAGTCCTGTGTCTCCTTTTGAGGTATATTGGTTGGTTTTTTGTGGTTTTTTTTCCTAAACTTTTGCTCAAGGGTTATGTGGAGGCTTCAAAATCTTGATTAATGATTTGCAAACCAGCATAGGCCTACGTCAAAGTCTACATTTTAAAGCGTTAAAGTAATTTTAAATCCTTAATAAAATATGAAGCCAATGCACTATTTTTCAGAAATGTTCATTTAAAATGTGGGTGGGTAGTGGACTTGTGGTATTCTGATAGTGCCGACTAAAATTAAGCTATAGGATCGAGTGTGCAGGCTGCGAACCTGCTGCCATATCTTTGCAAATTCAAAATGCCGCTGCGCCTTTAAAGCGTAATAATATCGCCAAGGTGGTTCTGAGCAGGCCCGCAATCACCAGTCTAGACTCTAAAGTTCATAACATTCGTTAAAAAACATTACATAGGCCTATTCCACCTCTGTGAACGACAAACGCACCACAGCAGAGAGTAAATACATTAAATTGGAGCAGTGTCAGATTAGCGTAATTGCTATTTAAATATATCCGAATCCACGAAACATTTTGAGGTTGTTAAAACATGAGCAATGACCTATCAAGGGGAGCGACAAGGACAACCTACACTTGACCATGTTTCACAAATATAATACATTTCTTGACGTCCATTTAGAGACCCTGGGTCTGTTATGACACATTATTTACCTTGACAGCTGACAAATACAGAAGCGTCAGGAGAAATAAGGTTATCAAACTGTCAACAAAGTTCATGATTGAAATTCCAAATGCAAATGTCGATTTAAAATCCATGCGGTCGTCTTGCGATTTCTTCCAAAGCATTTGTGAATTTTAAAACAGTAGGTTAATAACAAAGTGTAAGAACTGTTAGAACTTCTGTTAAAGGGGGACGGGGGGTTGTAGTGGCGTCAAATCCATTTTGGTCCCACGGTCGGAGCAGGCAAGACACCTGAGCAAAAATCCCTTGAGCATAGCGACCTTCAACTGTTGCCAATAATTTTCAAGATATCCAGAAATATGAAAATCCAGGATGCGTATCTTCTCACATTGTTCTGAAGTAGACCTTTATTTTTTTCAAATAAAATTGCAATCCACATTACAGAAGTAATTCCATAGGTCTACTTTGTGTACCAGGCGTCTCCAAATGCGTGTCCATTGGAAAAGGAGAAAATGCGATTACAGAAATTTCCACTCCTATCTCAACCCCAGAATTGTGCTTACAATAACACTCAAAGAATCCACTCTGTTATATGCGATCTGTCAAAACTTCCAACCATGACATGAACTGCGGTTTAATTTCGCTTTCTGCTCGTTCTCCCGGTTTGAATGATCCCAGCTCTCCTCTACCCTACTGTCGTTAACACATCACCGTAAAATAGTTTTGGAGGTCTACAACTTCTCCCCGTGGTTCTGTCTCTCGAGCCGCGAATATACTGTCGAATTGTCGTGTGCACGAAGGGATTGGAAGCCCCGGGTCAAAATTTCAATTGCTTTGGCTACTCCTCGGGTCCTCTCTCCTCGCCTCCTTCGCAAACCCCATTGGATTAGAAAGCCAGAGGTCCCGCCTCTCTGACCTTCTCTTCAAATGGTTTTTGAGAAGGAGGCGAGGAGCGAGGAGAGGACGCAAGGAGTTCAAAATTGAGAAAAGTCCCGAAAGTCGTTCATTGGCTAAAGGGAGGGGTGGGCGTGGTTACTCAATCTTGACAGAATTGTGAGGTCAGATCGCAGTGCTCTGATACTGACCGATTGGGCAGTGAGGTTCATCAATCAAACCTTGACAATGGCCATGTGGATCAAATCCGTAATGTATCATGGGTAAATTGAGACTGACTGACTAATAAATAACAATGAGTAGTTATTTATGATGCAAGGTTCTTTGTAGATCAGTCAGTCTGGCTGCAATGTCGAACAAGACCTTTGATCATAGGCTACACTTGGGAAAGCATACAGTGGGGAAAAAAGTATTTAGTCAGCCACCAATTGTGCAAGTTCTCCCACTTAAAAAGATGAGAGAGGTCTGTAATTTTCATCATAGGTACACGTCAACTATGACAGACAAATTGAGGGAAAAAAATCAAAAATATCACATTGTAGGATTTTTAATGAATTTATTTGCAAATTATGGTGGAAAATAAGTATTTGGTCACCTACAAACAAGCAAGATTTCTGGCTCTCACAGACCTGTAACTTCTTCTTTAAGAGGCTCCTCTGTCCTCCACTCGTTACCTGTATTAATGGCACCTGTTTGAACTTGTTATCAGTATTAAAGACACCTGTCCACAACCTCAAACAGTCACACTCCAAACTCCACTATGGCCAAGACCAAAGAGCTGTCAAAGGACACCAGAAACAAAATTGTAGACCTGCACCAGGCTGGGAAGACTGAATCTGCAATAGGTAAGCAGCTTGGTTTGAAGAAATCAACTGTGGGAGCAATTATTAGGAAATGGAAGACATACAATACCACTGATAATCTCCCTTGATCTGGGGCTCCACGCAAGATCTCACCCCGTGGGGTCAAAATGATCACAAGAACGGTGAGCAAAAATCCCAGAACCACACGGGGGGACCTAGTGAATGACCTGCAGAGAGCTGGGACCAAAGTAACAAAGCCTACCATCAGTAACACACTACGCCGCCAGGGACTCAAATCCTGCAGTGCCAGACGTGTCCCCCTGCTTAAGCCAGTACATGTCCAGGCCCGTCTGAAGTTTGCTAGAGTGCATTTGGATGATCCAGAAGAGGATTGGGAGAATGTCATATGGTCAGATGAAACCAAAATATAACTTTTTGGTAAAAACTCAACTCGTCGTGTTTGGAGGACAAAGAATGCTGAGTTGCATCCAAAGAACACCATACCTACTGTGAAGCATGGGGGTGGAAACATCATGTTTTGGGGCTGTTTTTCTGCAAAGGGACCAGGACAACTGATCCGTGTAAAGGAAAGAATGAATGGGGCCATGTATCGTGAGATTTTGAGTGAAAACCTCCTTCCATCAGCAAGGGCATTGAAGATGAAACGTGGCTGGGTCTTTCAGCATGACAATGATCCCAAATACATTTAAATTCATAAAAAAAAATTTTTTTCATTTTGTCTGTCATAGTTGACGTGTACCTATGATGAAAATTACAGGCCTCTCTCATCTTTTTAAGTGGGAGAACTTGCACAATTGGTGGCTGACTAAATACTTTTTCCCCCACTGTATTTTCATCATAAAAATTCACCTTTATAATAAGCATTCCATGCATCTTTGCATTTGCAGACGTATAGCCTACTATTCTTAATGTGATGATTAGATTGGATAGCCATAATTTAGGCTAATAATATAATTCAATCACTGTTCGCAAAAAAATATTGTTCAATCCAGCATGTAGTGGCATAGAGTAGGCCTAGGCTATATCAGATTCATTTCTTCTCTTTTCTTTGTACAGGAAAATGTTGGCCTTTTATAAACACATTTAATGCAATTCTACTACAATTATATCACTGGAGATATTACCAGAATCTTTTTTAATACAACAAATATTACAGGATAGCCTACTCTGCTGTCACTGACAAACAGATCAATAAAAACGACATTGTCTGATCCATATCATAGGCCTACGAAAAGGGAAGACACAAATACAATATGACATCCATCTAACCTGGAGGTAGTGAATATGCTCAATTAAGTTGATAATTTTGATAACTAAAAGACAGATTGGAGAGTTTTCACTGTCTTCTCATTACAGCAATAGCCATTTGCTTTCCAAACTGTTTTTCCATTATTGTATTTTTAAATATTGCGATATGCCTGGCTGGGTCTCTCTGCTTTTTACTGACAGTTGCAACTCAACATTTATCTATTTGGTAGTTGCCGCACGCACTGCTGAAATTGCAGGCCATTTGGACTGTAGGCTATGCGATTTAAAACAATCTACATTTTTGTATTTTAAAGAAGCTAATGATCCTCTGTGGCCAAATCATGCTTTCTGGTGTAGTAGCCTATTTTGAATGATTTTATTTATTTCTGTATAGACAGGAGTAAGCGAATTAGGCTATATAATTTTGGCAATTTAATTAAATTTACTTCGTCACTTTAATGTAGCAGGCGTAAAATACACATCTGAGAGGGGTCCCAACTTCCGGTTTTCAGGTGAAAAGGAAAGTACACTGAACAAAAATATAAATGCAACATGCAACAATTTCAAAGATTTTAGTGAGTTACAGTTCACATAATGAAATCAGTCAATTTAAATAAATAAATTAGGCCCTAATCTAGATTCTGTTGGTCACAAATACCTTTAAAAAAGGTAGGGCGTGGATCAGAACAACCATTTGCCTCATGCAACGCGACACATCTCCTTTGCATAGAGTTGATCAGGCTGTTGATAGTGGCCTGTGGAATGTTGTTCCACTCCTCTTCAATGGCTGTATGAAGTTGCTGGATATTGGCGGGAACTAGAACACGCTATCGTACACGTCGAGCCAGAGCATCCTTAATATGCTCAATGTGTGACATGTCTGGTGAGTATGCAGGCCATGGAAGAACTGGGACATTTTCAGCTTCCAGGAATTGTGTACAGATCCTTGCGACATGAGGCTGTGCATTATCATGCTGAAACATGAGGTGATGGCAGCGGATGAATGGCACAACAATGGGCCTCAGGATCTTGTCACTGTACCTCTGCACATTGCCTGCCCATACCATAACTCCACCGCCACCATGGGGCACTCTGTTCACAACGTTGACATTATCAAACCGCTCGCCCACATGTCTGCCATCTGCCCGGTACAGTTAAAACAGGGATTCATCCGTGAAGAGCACACTTCTCCAGCGTGCCAGTGGCCATTGAAGGTGAGCATTTGCCCACTGAAGTCGGTTACGACGCCGAACTGCAATCAGGAGGTCAAGACCATGGTGAGGACAACGAGCACGCAGATGAGCTTCCCTTAGACGGTTTCTGCAAATCCACAGTTTCATCAGCTGTCCGGGTGGCTCGTCTCAGACGATCCCGCAGGTGTAGAAGCCGGATGTGGAGGTTCTAGGTTGGCGTGGTTACACGTGGTCTGCGGTTGTGCGGCCGGTTGGACATATTGCCAAATTCTCTAAAACGACTTTGGTAGAGAAATTAACATTAAATTATCTGGCAACAGCTCTGGTGGACATTCCTGCAGTCAGCATGCCAATTGCACGCTCCCTCAAAACTTGAGACATCTGTAGCATTGTGTTGTGTGACAAAACTGCACATTTTAGAGTGTCCCTTTATTGTCCCCAGCACAAGGTGTACCTGTGTAATGAGAATGCTGTTTAATCAGCTTCTTGATATGCCACACCTGTCAGGTAGATGGATTATCTTGACAAAGGAGAAATGCTCACTGACAGGGATGCAAACAAATTTGTGCAAAACACTTCAGAGAAATAAGCTTTTTGTGCATATGGAACATTTCGGGGATCTTTTATTTCAGGTCATTAAACATGGGACCAACACTTTACATGTTTTGTTCATATTTTTGATGAGAATAGGTTGAAGATACTGTCTCCCTTAAAACCAGATATTTCCGGTTTCTATCGCCTCAGCCAAGGGTGCTTTGGTGATAACCTCAGGCTGCTGTTAAAGTGAAAAAATTTGTCAAAATTCAAAATGGTCTTTGTTGCTATGATTTATTGTTTTGATGTGTGCTGTATGTGTTGCAATATGTCCTGAAGAGAAATTGGTTATATTACATACATTACATTACTGTGAAACTGTTGTTTCCTCAATAATCAATAACAACACTGACTTGTCCAGTAGTAGTCTATTAATTGACTTTATCTGTGAATCTTAATTTCCCCTCAAATAGGATTTCTTTAACTTTATGCAAAAAGTTACTTTATGCAGTTCTAAAAGTTATTACCACAACCATCATCCCCATAATAACCATCATTATAAAAAAGTGATCTGACTTGACTCTTTAAAAAAGTCAAATTACGCACAGAACGATCCCTATTGAGGATGGAATATACCACCTTGCCCATCATATAAATTAAGGAATGCATTGTGTTGACAATCTGTCATGTCAGATATTATCCAATTAGCATCCGATGTGCTCTATAGCCTATATTAGGTGATTCCATTTTTATCTTTCAAAATGTTGACATATACTTATGCATCTTTGCGCATAAAAAAATCAAAAACCATCTGGAAGCGCCTGCAACCGATGAATTTCCCGGTCTGACTACAATATTGCCTGGACAGCGGGAACCGTTTACCGAATCTGGACGTGGGAGTGAGCGTTCGGGGACACCACCAAGCCGGCTCGTTCCAGTGGCCGCTGTCTGGGCATGTGAACAGTGGTCAGCCCGGCCAACTGTCTGTGGCCAGCGTCACTGTGCGTTGTCATGGAAAGTTGGAACGTGCGTGCCGTGGCTTCCCGTTTTCACCAGTGTGTAAGAGGGAGATACAAGGATTCTCAGTTTTCCCTCGAAGCTAGCTCGCAGCAGGTGCCAACAGACCACCTGACAGACGGACAGATGGACTGACCGGCCTTTTAAAATATCTCAGCACCGAACGTGTGCGACACCACAGCTGTTGAATGAGGAGAGGAAAAAAGGGAAACATCCTTTCCCGCTGTGGTGGTGGTATTTCTCTTCACATAGGTTACAGCTCTCCCTTTTCCAATTACAACTATCAATATAAGGATCTGGATCAAAACATTGTGACAACTTTCTCATGATCATCTGACCTTTTCTGAGGCTATAGGCTACTGAAAAGGCACCAGGCATTCATTACTACCCCCTTTCTTTAAAATCAATGTTTTGACATGGTTGGATGTTTGCCCAATTTCACATGACTGCAGTTCTGCCCTCTGCTTGTGATGTGTGGTACTACAGGCTTGAACTGCGCGCAGGTATGCAGAAAATACAGTATAAACAGGGATAATTTACATTTACATTTTTGTCATTTAGCAGACGCTCTTATCCATCAACTAGATTCAGCCACGGGCCAATTTTTTCTTGAGCAGATGGTCAGGGGGCCAGAACATAATTACAAATAATTTGTAGACTGCAAATTGACCGCAAGAAGCCCAAACAGATATAATATTTGACTAAAACATAATCATTTCAAACGTACAGTTTTATACGATCACATACTGTATATCTCACTATTATGTGTGGGAATACTTTGGAACAGATTTTCAAAATTAAAATCACTTGGAGCTGATTTGCTGGTGTTTATTTAAAAAAATGCTCAGAAAATTTTTTTTTTTGGGGGGGGGGGGGGTCAAATAAAATCACCCGCCAGTTGGGGAACCCTGCTGTACAGTAAGCCACTGTAGCCTCCGCTGCTCTGACAGACTGACTGACATAGAGGAAGTCTATAGTAGAGATAAGAATGTAGTGACATAACTAATCAGCCATCTGGTGATATGTTGGACCCACCTATATGGAGGATGGCAGGGGACAAATAGAGAGGGGTTAAAGAAAAATAATGGCAAAAAAAGGAGAGTGATATATAGAGAGAGAAGCAAAGAGTTAAGAGAAGAGATAGTTGATAACGGGAGAGAGAGAGAAAGGGATTTGGCAATCGTGTAACTTGAGCAGGGCTGAGGGGAGTTCCTTGGCTCGGAACTCATCCATAGTTTAATTGAAGAATAACACACAGGTTCATCAGCTGTGTCAACAAGCTCCTGTTTCTGCTGACTCAGTGCGTGTACGTGTGTGTGTGTGAAAGGGTATGTGTGTGCAATGGTGTACGTGACATGTTTGTATCCTATTTTCTGTTGGCACTATGAGAATCAGTGTGTCACACACACACACAACACACACACACACACACACACACACACACACACACACACACACACACGGTCGACTTAATGAGCTCTCCACTCCTACAGTTAGCATAGAAAACAACTTCCCCCACAAACACAAACAGACGGACTCTCAACACACCTTTTCTTATTGCACATCCCCCACATAACCACATGCACACACGCACACACGCGCACGCACACGCACACACACACACACAATTTAATCCAGTGTACAGTGCAGTCGCAAAGTATTCAGACCCCTTGACTTTTTACACATTTTGTTACGTTAAAGCCTTATTCTAAAATGGATTAAATTGTTTTTTTCCCCTCATCAATCTACACACAATACCCCATAATGACAAAGTGAAAACAGTTTTTTTGTGTGTGTGCAAATTTATTAAAAATAAACTGAAATATCACATTTACATAAGTATTCAGACCCTTTACTCAGTACTTTATTGAAGCACCTTTGGCAGAGATTACAGCCTCGAGTTTTCTTGGGTATGATGCTACAAGCTAGGCACACCTGTATTTGGGGAGTTTCTACCATTCTTCTCTGCAGATCCTCTCAAGCTCTGTCAGGTTGGATGGGGAGCGTCGCTGCACAGCTATTTTCAGGTCTCTCCAGAGATGTTCAATTGGGTTCAAGTCTGGGCTCTGGCTGGGCCACTTAAGGACATTCAGAGACTTGTCCCGAAGCCACTCCTGCGTTGTCTTGGCTGTGTGCTTAGGGTCCTGTCGGAAGGTGAACCTTCGCCCCCAGTCTGAGGTCCTGAGTCCTCTGGTGCAGGTTTTCATCAAGGATCTCTCTGTACTTTGCTCCGTTCATCTTTCCCTCGATCCTGACTAGTCTCCCAGTCCCTGCCACTGAAAAACATCCCCACAGCATGATGCACCGTAGGTATGGTGCCAGGTTTCCTCCAGACGTGACGCTTGGCATTCTGGCCAAAGAGTTCAATCTTGGTTTCATCAGACCAGAGAATCTTCTTTCTCATGGTCTGAGAGTCTTTAGGTGCCTTTTGACAAACTCCAAGCGGACTGTCATGTGCCTTTTACTGAGGAGTGGCTTCCGTCTGGCCACTCTACCATAAAGGCCTGATTGGTGGAGTGCTGCAGAGATGGTTGTCCTTCCGGAAGGTTCTCCCGTCTCCACAGAGGAACTCTGGAGCTCTGTCAGAGTGACCATCGGGTTCTTGGTCACCTCCCTGATCAAGGCCTTCTCCCCCGATTGCTCAGTTTGGCCGGGCGGCCAGCTCTAGGAAGAGTCTTGGTGGTTGCAAACTTCTTCCATTTAAGAATGATGGAGGCCACTGTGTTCTTGGGGACCTTCAATGCTGCATACATTTTTTGGTAACCTTCCCCAGATCTGTGCCTTGACACAATCCTGTACCGACAATTCCTTCGACCTCATGGCTTGTTTTTGCTCTGACATGCACTGTCAACTGTGGGACCTTATATAGACAGGTGTGTGCCTTTCCAAATCATGTCCAATCAATTGAATTTACCAAAGGTGGACTCCAAATCAAGTTGTAGAAACATCTCAAGGATGGTCAATGGAAACAGAATGCACCTGAGCTCAATTTTGAGTCTCATAGCAAAGGGTCTAAATAGTTTTTTATTTTTAATACATTTGCAAAAAATTCTAAAAACCTGTTTTCGCTTTGTCATTATGAGGTATTGTGTGTAGATTGATGGGGGGAAAAAATAATTTAATCAATTTCAAAATAAGGCTGTAACGTAACAAAATGTGGAAATAGCGAAGGGGTCTTCCGAATTTATGTCTGTGGTATTACAAGGAAGTCTTCCAACCTCATAACGCCCATCATGACCACAGTATTTCAAGGCACTGTTGATGCTTCCTGTAACCGTTGATAAGAAAACCTCCCACAACACGTACCTGCTCTTCTGTGTCATAACCTGTTGATTCTATTACAGACTTTGTCCATTCCCATTCCCAAAAGGAAGCTTGTTTCATCAGAACGTTGTGGTTAATGGGTTAATGGGTTAATGATACCTGGAAGGGAAATGGAAATTAACTGGTATTAAGTAACACTGTTTTTTCTGTACTCTCTCCAACATGCTGGAGGTGCCAGTGACGTGCTATGAGGTCTGTGGTGAAGCACTTTCGGTGTTAATCAGTATGATACGATCACAAAGATATCCACCAAACAACCACAACCAACCACAAAACAACAGCAGGTAGGCGGTGCAACCATTTTACACATATTCACAGGCCCTAACAGCTTATGCCCCCACACAACTGCCCTGCACGAACAGGCGACTATCAGTGCCATAGACAATGACCCAAATGCCAGCGAGTAGGCCTACTTGTAGACAGTGCTACAGACACAAAATGCCTAGTAGTCAGCACTACTGATTGAGATATCTACACTGAACAAAAATATAAACGCAACATGGAACAATTTCAAAGCCTTTACTGAGTTACAGTTCATTTAAGTAAATCAGACAATTTAAATAAATAAATTAGGCCCAAATCTATGGATTTCACATGACTGGGAATACAGATATGCATATGTTGGTCACAGATACCTTAAAAATAAGGTAGGGGCGTGGATCAGAAAACCAATCAGTATCTGATGTGACCACCATTTGCCTCATGCAGCGCAACAGATCTCCTTCACATAGAGTTGATCAGGCTGTTGATTGTGGCCTGTGGAATGTTGTCCCACTCCTCTTCAATGGCTGTGTGAAGTTGCTGGATATTGGCGGGAACTAGAACACGCTGTCGTACACGTCGATCCAGAGCATCCTCAACATACTCAATGTCTGACATGTCTGGTGAGTATGCAGGCCATGGAAGAACTGGGACATTTTCAGCTTCCAGGAATTGTGTAGAGATCCTTGTGACATGAGGCTGTGCATTATCATGCTGAAACATGAGGTGATGGCGGCGGATGAATGGCACGACAATGGGCCTCAGGATCTCGTCACGGTATCTCTGTGCATTCAAATTGCCATCGATAAAATGCAATTGTGTTCGTTGTCCGTAGCTGATGCCTGCCCATACCATAACCCCACCACCACCATGGGGTAATCTGTTCACAACATTGACATCAGCAAACCGCTCGCCCACACAACGCCATACACAATGTCTGCCATCTGCCCGGTACAGTTGAAACCGGGATTCATCCATGAACGACACACTTCTCTAGCGTGCCAGTGGCCATTGAAGGAGATCTTTTGCCCACTGAAGTCGGTTACGACGCCGAACTGCAGTCAGGTCAAGACACTGGTGAGGACGACGAGCACGCAGATGAGCTTCCCTGAGACGGTTTCTGACAGTTTGTGCAGAAATTATTCGGTTCTGTAAAACCCACAGTTTCATCAGCTGTCCGGTGGCTGGTCTCAGACAATCCCTCAGGTGAAGACGCAGGATGTGGAGGTCCTGGGCTAGCGTGGTTACACGTGGTCTGCGGTTTAGAGGCCGGATGGACGTACTGCCAATTTCTCTAAACGACATTGGAGGCGGCTTATGATAGAGAAATGAACATTAAATTCTCTAGCAACAGCTCTGGTGGACATTCCTGCAGTCCGCATGCCAATTGCACCCTCCCACAAAACTTGAG